TCAGGAAAAAAGATGTTTTTTTTTTCGATGATGTTGAACAAAAACACAACTGGATGTATGTCTCAACAAGCATGTTAAAGATCTCATTCGAGAACAGTGGAAAAAGTTGATAGTTAGCGGGCAATAGTCATTCTAGGCTACCGTAATAGCCTACCAAAAACACAGTACCCACCCATGGGGTATTGTAGATTGTGGTAGATAATTGACAATATAACCCTACCGTGTTTTCAATAGAATTTGAGTGAAGAGAAAATATAAGCTTACTGAATTTAATAAATGCAATTGAATATATTTTAAAATACGATTTTTTCGCGAGGAGGTCGTCTTGTACGGCGAATATATCCCGAAACATCCATTTTGGGGTCGTCTTATACTCCTAGTCATCTTGTACGCTAGAATATACGGTATATGAAAAGTGATGGCTAAGATATTCTTTGTATATTTTTACGTTTTTTTTTTTATTTAGTTGGCATGAACAAGCACGGTAATAGTTTTGGACTAACATTCATCTGTGCTTGTGTTGAATATTTTTTAATTTTATTTTCGTTTTTAACTAGGCTAAATTTCAAATACAATAGGCGTTATAAATGACCTCAGTGCGAGAATCAGCAATCCTTTTGTCATGTCACCTGATAAGGAGTTTTATTGCCTCTCTACTTTCCTTTTCTTTTCTTTTTTCTCCCTTGCTTGGGTCAGATGACGCCAACTATAAGTTGTAAGGTGTGTGGTTGAGAACTCTTTTTATTTAGTCTTATTAGTATGTTATGTTTCGTTGAACAAAACTGACAAGGAACTGTTATTTAGTTTGTTCAAAGCGTTTTAACTTGTTTACGTAGAAGTGTTTTCTTTTTGAACTCAGTGACTGCAAAAAATGCCCAAGAGTTTATAAGTTCCGAACGCTTTCGGCTAAACTGTTAACCATTTTCAAGGATTATGTTTTGTTATACTACTATAATGAATAGTGTGTAAGAGCGATTTTAGATGGTATAAAAGTAGATATATTCTTAATTTTCAAATACAGACAGTATATTGTGGCCGTTTTAAGAGTTAAAAATAGTGGACGTTCTTATTATAAGAAGTAAGCACATAAAAAACAACCTTTAATAATATTAATTATGAAGAAGGATATATCTCATTTATAAGAATGGTACTCTGGCTGATAAATCTATAAGGTTACACCTTATTTTGTATCACAGAATAGATACTGCTCTAAAAGTTCTGTAAGAGAAAAATCGTTTCCTACAATAGCAACCCCAATGTAATGACGAAAGTACACAGGTGTAGGCTTTAAGAAAGCTTTATTCAACTGAGAATACAAGATTCGCGTAGAGTGATCTTTCATAGTCCCAGTAAACAGAAATAGGTCTCGCAAAGAGGAAAGTAACACAACAAAGGGAGACTACTCTTGATTATTCATAACAGGGTCATCATTATTTTCATTAATTGCATGCGGACTATTGTCTTCATATTTTTTGTTATTATCACAAAGTTTAAATCCATTGTGCACCCCAGCTTTCATCAGATGTTTGCCAATTCGATGAACTTTCAGGGAATTTCGAACTGAACCCTTTTAATTTAAAGGGGTAGGTTGTTCTCGTTCCGTTGACCTTGTCGAGGGATATCTCATCCAGTTCTTATTTAGTTCTTATTTATAATAATCAGATAAAACAGATTATTAGTCATTGCTCTACAGCAAGGCACCCAAAGTAGTTATTAATATTTAATATGCTTAGTTTAGTACCTTAGTTATACATAAGTCGACAAGTAGAGATATCTACTACTGTTGTAATAGTCTGTAAATTTAACGTTAAAACCACTACGAGGTGCGCAATGTAGGTTTTAGTATTTAGTAAGCCTAGCTTAGTTAGACATAAATTTCTGTCTGAATATATGGAATGAAGGGTCTGTAATGACAAAAGTACGCGGGTGTAGTCTTAAAAAAGCTTTATTCAACTGAGAATACGAGGTTCGCGTATAGTGTCCTTTTATAGTCCCAGTAAACAGAAATAGCTCTTTCAAAGAGGAGAGTAAAAAAAACAAGAGGAGACCACTCTTGATTATTCATAACAGCTAATATAGGATTTTTTTCTTTATTTGTATCAAGAAATTTAAAATTTTCATTTAATTAAAATATTTTAAATTTCGTTTGGTATGCCCGAATTGCTAGCATGACTAATCGTGTGAACATGATTAAATAAATTTTATGAAGTGTTTATTTTAGAAGCTGTCTCCGTGTAAATTAAACCAAAGTGCGTGAAACCGCAAATAAAGGTATCACTGTACATGAAAACTGTTAATTTCTTTCAATTTTCAGTTGTTACTTTTGAGCATTTATTCATTTGGAACAGTATAGATGAGCACTACGAATTAAAATGATTGAAATACGCTGCACAAATACCATACTAAAATCAACCAATCAGCAGGCAGACAATAAATTTGAAAAATGTATGCGTTGTCATCAACAAGAAAAGAACAGGTATTAAATTTAAATTGTTTTAGCGGTAATGACTTCCCCGGTTGCAAACTGTTAAAAGTTAGCAACTTCTTATTGAAAACTTTGTAAATATCCCCAAAAAGAATATAAAGATTTTAGCATCGGGAGAAGAAAAAAAAGGTCAGGAATGATTGGCTAGGGAATTGATGGTAATAATATTGATGTTTATTGTCTCCAAGAAAGTAGGACTCGATATTAATATCGGAGTATGATAGCTAGTTAATAGCTTTTCATTAAATATTATGGAAATGGCTTTGTGATCTAATGGAAGAATAAGATCTATAGACATTTGACGGACAACGATAGTATACACTTTGAACAAAGACATTAAAAGAGCTATCTATATAATTCCATCATTACACGTAAAAAAAAGAAAAAAAAAGACAAACTTTGAAAAGCTTGGAAGACCTGAAGCACCTTCGGAAGTTAGCAAACGACAGGGAGGTTTGGAAAGGACAGAGATAATTACAAAGTTTTTTTTAAAGCAATTCACCCCAAGCAAGGCGGGAGTGCCACTAGCAAACAAGGTGTTACAGAAGATTGAGAACAAGAGTAAAGAGGCGTGTTTGAAAAGGAAAAGATACAGAGAAGGACGGGGAACAAGCTCAGGATGTTAGATATCGATTGACATTACACTTGAATATTTGAAGATTATAGTCATCGGGGAAACAAATAAGGAGAATGAATTTCACTTGAGGATGAGAAATCACATTGTGCCTTCAAGTCAAAACAGATTTCATGATGATCAAATGTATATCTTTCAGAAATTATTACTTGACTGTTTTTTTTTAGCATGGTTTTTTCTTCTACGCGCCGTGTCCTTTCGGGGCGTGAGTGATCTTGTTTTTCCATAACTTCCTATCTCCTGTAGCTCTAAGTAACATTTGTCTTTTTGCAACCTCTCCCAGCCCTCGTCCCGTCATTCATTCATACAAGATCATCAGATGGCTGCCCCTGTCCCTTTTGCCTTCGATATGCATGAGTATCATATTCTCCAAGCCCTCTTTTCTCATTAAGTATCCCAGAAATTTCAGCTGTCTCTTTATGGCAAGTATTCTTTTTGTTTTCATTTTGCTTAAGATCATTTATTTGCATATGCACTCTATTCCTGGAACCTTCTCTTGAACCATAGTTCTGTTGCCCCCGTCTTCTGGGAGCGTTAAGTTCAATGTCTGGTTGTGGCTGTGCGAAAACGTCAATAGAAAAAATAATTTAGCGTCATAAGGAGGAATTAACAGTAACGAAATGGGAAACTCGAGATGAATGACAATCAGCAAAACAAATAAAGGCATAGGAACATCATCTTTTCACTTGATTTAATAAAGAATTTTGTTCGACATTCCTATAATGTTTATGAATGGAACACAAACGTTGTGAAGAGCGGAGAGTAGAGCGGCCGAAATGTTGCAATTATAGTAAGGTAAAAGAATCTATATTCTCTAATTCTCTTTCTCGGTCACATGTGGTTTTGTCCCGGTTGGCAGTCTTTATTGACCTATCACTGTTCGACATCCTGGCAATTCTGAGATCACTGAGTTTTGTCATATTTTATATATTAAGAATTTTCAAGGCGCGAAAACACGGGGCGCTTAAATATTCTATTTTGTACCTGTTTGCTTTGATATTTAAAGTGTGGATACTGCGTCCATAGCAAGGCGTTTTGATTAAATGTTTCATGCCATCTTATCGCCGTTTATAGACAACTCTCTAAATATAGCAGCCTTGCTAAAGGTTAACTCTTATTCTATTTATATTCTATTTCTGTCATAAACACTCTTTTCTCCCAATAACCAGATAGTAATGCCAATCTAAAAAAGAAAACCAAAAAATACCCCCCCCCAATAAAAAACAAACTAAAAAACAAAAACAAAACAAAACCCATCAGTAACGGCAGATTTAAATTCCGTCAGTTTCTAGATCACCGTGACGACGCGGACATTTATCGCGACTAATTGCAGCAATTTGGAATGATTAAATAATAATAATATATCATTACCGAACTGGAGGAAAAAAAAAAAAAGATGTCCGTTCATGGTGGCCTTTCTCATAAGCTTGTCAATCTGTGAATGCACGGTTACCATACAGGGAAATGTCACAAAGATTAAAAACAGACTCGACAGTAACATGAGACTAGTCTCATTCACATGGGTTACGATGTTCTTTAATAATGACCAGAAAAACAGGTTTAATTCAAGGTTAATATATTTATAATTTCAAAGATTTTTTTTTGACCTGTATCAAATCAAAGATTCTTTTTTTTGTATTTTCTAATTGAATTTGTAAAGAAAGTCCGTTACCCAAAATATGACAACTCTCTCTCTCTCACACACACACACACACACACACACACACACACACACACACACACACACACACACACACACACAAACAAAAACAAACAAACAAACAAACAAACAAAGATTTCTTTGAACAAAATACATCAAAAATATTTTCATATTTACAGCATTGGTCCAAATAGTGAGAAATAGGGACTTGAAACATTATT